TTTTCTATATACTCAAGAGATCTGTCTGGTCAGCCCGGTCAGTCCAGGTCTCGCTCACTTCCTTCATGCTTTTGACAAATGTGGCTGTGCCAGCAGGAGGGGACAGAGCAGCCGCACCGCTTGCCCTGGGAAGCCAAGGGCAGAGCCCACAATCAATCCCAGGCTGCCTGACCCCCCGGGCTCTCCGTTAGCCACAGTAATTACTCAGAGCAACATGAACATTGCTAGGGAGACCGTGGGTTGAAAGCATCTCTAGGAGATGAACACGCACAGTTCTGCCCCATCGCTGTTAGAAACCTGCTTCATCTGGGCCAGGCTTTTGGGGCCCAGCCGAATGGCAGTTAATGGTCATGCTAGAATTTGTGTCAATTGATTTTCCAGTTAACTTGACTTAACATGATTGGAGGTATTAGAGCAGAGAGGATTTACCCGTTGTTCCAGTTTGAGTCCTGTAGACCTCATATTCCATTTCAGTGCAGCATCCAGTTTAGTCCCAATTAGAACAAACAGTTCCTTAAAATAAAGATTTAACGTAAAGATTCATCTGGGGCCAGATCTGAAGCCCATTGTGTTTGGGAGCTGTCCTCCCCACTGAAGGCGATAGGTTTTGGATCAGGGCCTGGAGGCAGCTTGCAATGTATGGGCAATTTAATAACGAGAGATGACTCACTATCAAACGCTGTCTGCTTTACAAAGGAGCCTCAGAAATGGAGTATCTGTGTGACAGAAATAAACCACTATTCACACACACACACAAAAAGAGAGCCCATGAGAAATTACATTATCTCTTCACTTGGGAGACTTACGCCTCGTCCGATGAACGCTTACTCATGTGAGTAACTTTACCAACATGAGTAGCTCAGTAAAACCCCAGCCTGCAAAAATGGTTATGCCAAAGGGGGTTGAGGTCTTTATCTGTTTGCCTGTCATTTCTGAGTGTCTAACAGTCCCAGCAGATCAGACAATTTTATGTGCTGCCTGTCCTGAAATCCTAGTCGTGACCGCAGCGAGCCTGGGCTGGGGCAGAGACCCCTGTGTCGCGTACCTTTGGATTTACGCTACAGGTGTTTCCCACCTCTGCTCAGGTACCGCATGCCCAGTGGGTCCCATGGATCCCATGCCTGCTTGTCTCCTAGAGGTGCTTTCCACCCACGGTCTCCCTAGCGTGGGTCCTATTCTGGCATAGGGAAAAAAAATCCCTGACAGAAATATGAGAGTCCTAGGGCAATGCTGCCCCTTTGGGGCTTTGTGCTTCTTTCTCCCTTTCTATGGACGACAGTCACTCCTGGTCTTGAGTGACTGGCTGTCTGGGTTGGTTTGGTGTCTGTACAGTTCCTAGCACAACGGGGCCTGCTAGGATTCTCAGGAATTACAAACAACAGGCAGTGACTCCCATGGGGTAGGCTAGTACTTGAAAGGGATTATCTAGAGGCCATAAATCCTCTTTCATAACTAGACAAAGCTGGAAGAAGTGCTGAGCATTTCACCTATAACCACAGAAGCCATTTCTCTCTTTAACCTTTACATTCCCTGCAGGTGTTCATAGGCAGGATGCATAGGGATGCAGCACCGCTGCTAATAGAAAAACGAACCCATTTGGTAAGCCTTACTTAGATGTCAGAGTACTTTGAATTTTGGAGCTGAAATAAACAGATTGAAGTAACCCCACAGTCTATAATGCAATGGTAAAACAAAGTAGGGCTTTACAACTGAGGCCCCGGTGTCAGAACTTCATTTGATTGTCTCTGATGACTCAACCTATTTCACAAGCTATTTTCATATGCCTTATTTAGCGAACTTACTCATGTCTCGGTAAAAGCCTAAGATGTGATAAAGCCAAGGAACCGTAATGTGTGGTACTGGTAACACCTCCCACGCCAAAAAAAAAAAAAATCCTACTTCCATATTTATGTGGCTCTGCAAATTGGTTCCTGCCTTTTTCTCCCCGGAGAGTGAGCTGGAAGCGTGTCTCCTCTCCAATTAGCATGAAGCTGTGAAAAGTGGAGATGGAGGGTCAAATTCACCATGCCTGGAGCCTCACTTTACTTTTGCCACATTACAGGCACATTTGGACCTTTGACTTCCCAGCAAGGCAAGTGTTGTTTTTAGCATCCAAATAAAAACGCCGGCAGAATACCTTGTTCATTCATGCTTTGTCTCCTGAAAAAAGAAGCTCACCACCAGAAGGCAAGATGCTAAGAAGAGCTACCTACCTTGTGTTGCTCAGGGACCAGGGATGGGCACTTCAGTATAAACTCCCCATGGAGCAGGTGAATTTTACCTGGGTTTTACTGGTCAGGGTGTAATTTCTGCCTTTTGGAGAGTCCTTTAATCAGAGAAGCAGGAGGAGAAGCCTGGGTAACCAGGATAGGCTGCAAATCACACCAGCAAATATATAGACTAAAAGAACACATAGGGACACTTAAGGACAACACCCACCCATCCACCCCCACCCCAGATCTCTTCACAACCATGCAACCATGTAAAGACATGTATTTCTTTTGTGGCAGTTCTTTTGAAGAGTTTGTTTGTCTTGGAGGCAGAAATGAAAGGCAGCCCTTGCAAAGCAGAGACAGCACTTATGCTTGCGGCATGACTGTTCTTTGCAAGCCTGAAAGCAAGGGACCAAAAGTTACGTGGCACAAGCCTGCTTCAGTCCCACAGCAGGGCCTGAAACAGCTCCCAAGGGACACCAAGGAGTCCAGGACACAAGGGTACACTATCAGGAGTGTTACTGAAGAGAGCCGCTCATGTCCCAGGGCAGCCCTGAACCAGCACTTCCATGGGCAGCAGAACCTGCAAAATCCCCTTTTCTATGACATTTCCTTCTTTGGATTCAGGTATCATAAGGGGTAAGCTCTAATCAAAGTTTTGCCTAGGGGTACAGCATTCCTGGCATTTTTCCCTCACTTGCATTTTCTGATGTCTGGAAGCATCCTGCTATAGCCTTCCCCTTGCTGTTACAGCTACTTAGGGCTCTACTTCCCATCAGAACGTTGTTTTTGAGATCCCTATTCCTGCATCAAGCTTAGCTGGCAGATGAACACAAGCACATTGAACCAGCCAGGTCAGCCCCCATCCCTCAGCTCTGACATTACCCACACACCTGAGCTGAACTTCCATCCCTAGGAGTGAGCTCCCCAAACCCAAGCTCATCTTGGCTATAAAAGCCCCCTAAATCTTCCATCCTACCCAACCTAGTCAATTTGCTTAGCACACAAGCCACAAAACACTGTCAGAGCTGTTCCTTTCCCTGGGAATGGAGGTAGCTCTTGTGTGCTGGCAGCTGGAAGCAGAGAACCTGCCCTACCCCTACAGGTTCAGACTCGCACAGCCCATCTCCCAGGTAGGTGACATCCTGATTTGTCACACTCACTTTCACACATTGGTGCTTGGGCTCTCAGGTCCTCCCTGGCCATGCGAGCAGCTTGGCCAGGGAGGGAGGAGAGCATGTACTCTCACCCCAGAGCCCTGAAGTTGGATGGCTGTGATGTCCCCTCAGAAAGGTGGGATCTGCCAAGCTGGCCAAGGGAGGAGCGGAGCTGGGGACAGAAGTCTTCCATTAGCACTGAAACAGCAAAGCAGGCGCCAGCACAAGCATGGGAGCACATCCCTCTGGGAGGCAGCATTTACCTCCTGCTCTGCTCTGGATGCCGGGGCTTCCTTCAGCCTGCGGGGAGGAGATGTGGGTTGGGACCAGCCAAGCAGAGGGGAATGGTGCCCTGGGGAGGAGCACAAACCTCAGGCTCCTGTGCCCAGGCATGACAACCACCCCTTTCCAGGCTTCTGCAGGGTTCTGGCCCTCCATCCTTGCTGAATCCCAGCCCAACATCTCCCCCTGCCAACACTATCCACCAACACTCTGTGAAAAAGCCCAGGATCAGAGTCCCTCTCCAAAATCAGAGCAGCTCCCTTCCCTCTCTGCTAAATACCTTGTTCCTCCACCTGGCCCATGATCTTTTCCAGCTGCTGTGGTCGAATCTGCCAAGGCCAGCGGTCCCTCCACTAACCCCTTCAGCCTGTTGGCCCATGCTCTGCAGGTTCCCGTGGCAAACATCATCAGCTCTGCAGAGGACTTCAACTTCCCCATCCTTGAGAAACAAAGCTGGTCATTCCCCCAGAAGGGCTTTTATGCTGTTTTAACAAGAGCTGTTGGCTGCTCTGTTTCTGTCAAGGTTGTAGGTCTTTGTGGTCAGGACATTGCCCCTCTTGCTAAGCCTACCAGCCTTTCTGCTCTGGAGGGGCTCATGGGAGCAGAGGAGCATTTTCGCTGCAACTGGCCATGGGTTTCAAGAGAACACTCTCCAGAGCAATCAGATCTCTTAGAAAATTATTGGTCTGCTCTTGTTAGATCACCTGCCTCACCTCCTCAGCTGTTCGTTCCCATGTTCAGGTTACCCAGAGCCCAGGCAAGGCTGCTGCCATGTCCCCCAACACAGGGAAGAAATCAAAGGCTCATCTCCAGTGACAGCTTCTTACCTGTGAGATTGGCTTCCCAGGGGAAGGATGTTACAAATAGACAAACCCCAGAGAGCACAGATGCTTCACAACTCAACCAGACATCAACCATAAATTTTTCAACTTGATAACTTGAAAATGCCGACTGTAAGTGTGCTGCAGTGATGAGCCAGGAAGAACATAAAAACTTCCAGCTGAAAAGGGGTATGAAATGGCTCAGAGATGCTGGCACTTCAAATCACTTTTTTTCATTAAAAAAAAAAAAAAAAAGTGAAAAGATGAGCATTACTCACATGCCCTGGTCCTTTGCGTGACGTGACACTCGCTATGGGCCACACATGAGGGGCCAGGGCACGCAGCATCCCATGGCATGTGCTCAGGAAGGAAGCGGGGGCCGTGCCTACTTCAGATTTTCATCTTCAGCAAGATGGCAAAGCTTGTATAAAACATGTGTGAATCAAAACAGAAGTGCCTGCCTGGCTGCTGGGAAGTGACGCCACCGTGACTCATGTCATTCTGTTTAAAACAATCCTCCCCCTCACCTTCTCCCCTCCCGAGAGCTGCACCTTGGAGGCTTTCAGCAGAGTCCAGGGATGCTTACCCTCCGCTTCTACCTCCTTACGCCACTTTTGGGCCATGGAGTTTTTCTCAGGTCACTGAGCTTTTGCCAAAGCACTCTTGCAGCTCACTCCAAGTACAACAAACAGCTTTCTTTTCCTGGCTTTTTTTTTTTTTTCCTTTATTATTTTTTTACACTCCATAAAAAAACCCGTTGCAGGGTTTGGTTTTTTTTTTTTTCACATTCACGAGATCTCCTGGAAATTATTGCCATTTCCCACACATACTACATACGAAAAACTCCCTGCAGACACAGAAGCCAATGCAAGCCAGAGAAAAAACAGTTTTTGCGGACAAAGGCTGGCTAGAGGTGACCACATGCACTAAGCAAGCCACGTAACACTGAACAAGACCACTTGACCACACATGATACACATCGGGAACACTTGGGAAGGGATGGAGGAAGAGTTGGCTTGGAGCCGAGCTTGTCAGGGGTTTGGTTTTTTTTTTTTTTTTTTTTTTTTGGTGTAAAATCCAGCAGTTAACAGTGTTATCTGATGGGAAGTAACTCTGATGAGGATTGTGGAGACATTCAAGTATTCTAGGGCTGTTCTTAAATAACAGATGGGAGGATAATAGCTCAGCAGGTAGCCTGATGGCTTCGGTTAAGTGCCCTGCTTTAGTTGAAAGCACATCCAGTACAAAGGCAAACGCAGAAGTACAGGAAATGCCACACCTGAATGGATCCAGGGTCTGGTGTTGTATCCAGTTACACTGTGGTCAATACCTGACGCAGGAGAGGGGGATTTTCACCTGGTTGTGCAACAGTGTCCTGGGAAAAGAGCTCCCTCTGGCCACCCCAGCCCTGTGCTCCCTGAAACATGAGGCAGGAGGGGGGAGGAGGAAAGCCAGAGAAAAAGCAGAACGAATATTCACTCCCACCACCTCTGTGGTTTCGAAGGTGGTGCTTTTCGTTTTGCTTTCTTCCCCGCTGCTGCTGTTTATTGCTTGAGACTTTAAATAAGGGTCTTTTCAAAAATAAGAAGGGAAGGAGATGGGAACTGAGAACATACTAAATGGATTTCTCATTGCTCCCCAGGAATCTGGAAATACAGTAGTGGGTGCACATTCTGTGGATAAAAATCTAAAAAAAGCACTTTTTTTTTAAAAAAGGACAACAAAAGTTTGGAAAACCTGCCACACTTAGAGCGCTTGCGTCTTACAGTCACAGCATACGGAAAGTATGACCCACGACAACCACTCCATCTCAGACTAAGTCGATGAGGTTTCTCTATTGCACGTTCATGAAATGTTCTTGTTGGGGTCACAGTTCGGATCAGAGGACCGCACCAGCTCCGGTCTCCCCAAGGTGTTCAGCAAGACGAAGATGCCGTCATTGGGCTGAGTTTCAGCTGGTGGACGGGAGAGTGGATGGGCACAGAACTCAACACTGAGGTAGGAAAGGCAAAACACGAGCCTTCAAAGTTTTTGCCTAACGTCAGTTCCTCTGCAAAGAAAGATGCGGCTTCTCTTTTGCACGAGGCGACGGGGGGGCTGGGAGTGGAAGACAAGATCTCTGACTCGTATTGTAGCAACTGGCCCATGAAACCAAAGTTTGGTGAGATCAGGCTCCGGCGCTGCTTGATATAATCGAAGGCTTCCTCCAGACGGAGCTTCTTTGTCTTCATGAGATACGCCATGCAGATGGTGGGAGAGCGTGAAATGCCCGCTTCGCAGTGCACCAGGATCTTGCCCCCGGTTCGCCTGACATAATCTAGGGGAAAAAAGTCATTGCAGACGTCAGTTGTCTTTGGCAATAGGGAGGACACAGCACCCAGCATTGGAAGTGGAGCATGGCACACAGCCAGTCCACCAGCAAGGAGAGGCTTGCTCTTCTGTTGGGTACTAAGGGTAACATGGAGATTAAAAGGGGGACAAAATCCAGCCTGAGATGGAGCTGAGCTGCGGATGACACTTGGTTTCAGAATCTGTGGATCCTGATTTGGTTCTTCCTGCATTTTTTAGGAAAGTCCTTCCCTGCCTACTTCCCATGTGCCTATTTCTCTTTTGGAACAACTGACTTTGCAGAGCATGGCAAGGAAGAGACCAGGTATCTGGCCAATGCTTGTGTTTGCTGTACCTGCATTTCTCTGCCTGCGGCTACAAGTGCTGACCCAAGCCCAGCCTGGCCAGCCCTCCCACCGTTAGGTCTTTCAAAAGCCTCAGGGCTGCCTTCCTCTCATCAGCTTTGCTAGAAAAACAGGACTTTTCTTTAAAGTCCGATCCTAACTCCCTGCTTGGCCAGTTAGCAGCGATCGGTGGTACCAGGCGCTGAGCCCTTGGTGGGTGCCCTTGGGTGGAAAGGCTGAGCTCACTCCCTGGGGCCTCACCACAAAGCACACAAGGACTGGTAGGCAGTTGCTAATTACAGCCTGGTTAAAAGATGCTTGGGCTTAAGTCAGGATATAAAAGGCTTATGCAAAGCACCCATTTTACACAACAGGAGCCACTGTGGTTACTCACACAACACAATGATTGTTATTAGATTAAAGAGAATGTGCTTAAAATAAGCCCTTTCCACACAAAAATACGGTTCAAAAATAGACGTTCTCTGCTCTATTGCCTTGAGCAATATGTTCAAGCTCCAATTTATGGATAACTGAGCTGAGTGTAGTACTCATTGAAACAACACAGAGCTGAGCAAGTTATCATTTGCCTGTCTTCGATTGTCTGCTGGGGGACTGGTGCCACCACGACCAGTTATATTTAACTACCACACAAAATAAGGAAGACATGGATTTGAGTCATCACCAGCATCTACACCACACGCCCCATTTTAAAAGAAAGTGAAAACTAAAGTCATCCCCAAAATCTGGGAAATTTCCAAGTGACTCAACAACCATCAGAAGGGGCTGGGGATGGGACAGAAGAGTGCTGTGATTTAGCATTTCCCTGAAAGGTGTGAGAAGTCCCTTACCAGGAAGGGGAAGGGCTCAGAGGGCACCCTCAGATCAGGTTTTTTTGTAATTCTGCCTGCACCTTCAAAGGACTCAAACTCAGCTGAGCAATGAGTCCAGCGAGTCTGTAACTGGGGTTTTAACCCATTTCACTCTCGAATATTCCTGGAGAGCAACAGCACGGATTGCAACAGCACAGATTTCAACACCATTGCCACCCAGGCTCAGGCTGCTCCACTGAACCACCCAGTGCCTCTTGGGGAGGAGCCTCTCCCTTGCACTACCTGCAGGGCCGGTGTGCTGCTCACCTACACAGCCTAACCCAGGAAGATTCGGGAGGGCATGGCTCAAAGTTTTCTGAAAACATCCTCACTTTTTTTTGCATTGGGGTGCTTGATTAAAGGGTGAGATACCAGCATGATCAAAAGGAGAAATAGGAAGAGCTCTGTGATAAGGTGAGATGCTGGCCTTCTAAGACCTCGGCTTTGGAGTGTCTCAGCACAGCAAGGCAATAAGCTGACCCTTTTTCACCTGGCTTTTACTGGGTCTGGCATGCAAGTCCAAGGAACCAATATATTTTTTCCCCTTTACAAAAATCAATCGACTTTGGTGTTATTCAACCATACTTCTTTGCTCCCTGTCATGCTGAAGTTACACCTATGCTTGCTTTGAAAAGAAAATAAAGCCAACCAGCTCACTCGCCCCACCTGCCTGATGGCAGTCAAGGGGAGGCATTTTCCTTCCTTGGCTTCCCAGCCTGAAGAGAAGGTCAGAGACCTTGCTCTCAATGTCTGCCTGCCTTCCTTCCTTGCAGAAATCCCTCTGCCAGGAGAGATGCTGGGGAAGGAAGGGAGCTTAAACTTCTGCTTTGACATTTGGGAACATACAGAAAATAACGTGTCCTTCCCACCAATATATATTTTAAAATAAATGAATTTAAAAAAAACCCATGGAGATCTGGGAATTTGTTAATTTGGACCTACCGATGAAATCGATGGCTTCCTGGAAGTGTGAGCTGATGTCTGCCGTGTGACTGTCCTCCACCGGGATCCACTTGTAGCAGTACTGGTCTTTGAAGGACTCTGAGCTTTTCCTGGAGACGTTGAGCAGGGCCGTGATGTGCAGGTTGGCAAGAAACTCGCACTTGGAAGCGTGATAGGCACTACCAAGGTAGAGAAAAGGCAGGATTTCGACTGGGCCACCCTGGAAGAGAAGGACCAGAAACGTGTAATGCATTTTCAAGGTTATTTGAGTCCTGATACCTGAGACAGGGAGGCAAGGGAGCCTGCGTGGGTGCCCGCTCCCTCCCCTGCTGGTGTTTTTGGCCCCCAGTGCTGCCGGCCAGTGAATCACTGCAATGGCAAAGCCCACGCAGGAAAAAGGTTTTAATTTTCTTGTCCACATCTGTGAGGTGCAAAGTCAGATCCAGCCCACTCGCATGCAGGATGTTTCTGGCTTTCTTTAAAGCGCTGCCCCTTGGGAGGCACCCGAAATGCTTTCATGTGCAAGGCCCATTCCCTCTGAGGCTTTATCAAAATATGGGTGAGGTGGGGAGCCACATCCAAGCAGGGAGGAAGAGGAGGTTGGAGGAAGAGGCTGCTCTAGCTCAGCCCGGGGCTCAGCCCCTCTGCTCATACCTCCAAAGGTAAAGCAAAGCAAAAAAATCAGAGCAAGGCTCCCCGTCCTCCCGCACCTCCTTGGCACGCAGCACCCACCACGTCACTCGCCCCAAGATGTCACCTCGGTTCCTCCTTCCACAGCGCAAGCAAAGGCTGGGTGACGAGACCGTGAAAGAAAAAAAGCCACCGCCTGACACAAGGGTTTCAGAGATCGCAGGTAACTTTCCATGATGCACAAGAGCTGCTGCCAGCCCCTGGCTGCAAGAAACCGGCTTCCTGGCCCCCCTGAGCT